CTCTCTACAAGGATCTGGAGGGAACATCCATCTGAGCAAATCACTTATTAATATGCAGATAATTTACCAGTAAGACAGCCAGTTCCCAGACTAAATAGTTTCCATCCCCACCACTAGCCTTAAGACAATGAAATTCAGGTTGGTTTCTATGGACGTCAATTACAACTCTGACAGCACCATTAATAATTCATATTTCTCAGTTTCTTTTGGAATCTGGCCAATTCCTTTCTGTAGTGTCAAGAACCCCTACAAGTCTGTGTTTCGGGTTCCAGAGTTGCAAGTTGGTGGGCACAAAGCAAATTCGTCCCTTAGTTTCCTGTGTAGTTACTTAGAATCAGTCTAGACACAAAATCCATCTCAGCATTAATGTTATTCACTCCCCTCTTCTCTGGGCATGTGAGATTTATTTTAACTCACCAAAAAGTTAAACAGAGACCCAATAAGGTAAGTAATTGGTACATACTCTATCATTTCGTCCCACAAGAAGTGGCTGTGAGCCAGTTCCAGTGGCCAAAATCCATAATAGAAATCAGCTTTTAAAATACCCAAGGTGGAGAACAGTATGGAGATTCCTTAAAAAACTAAAAATAGAGTTACCATATGATCCAGCAATCCCACTACTGGGCATATATCCCGAGAAAACTCTAATTCGAAAAGATACGTGCACTCCAATGTTCATAGCAGCTCTATTTACAATAGTCAGGACATGTAAGCAACCTAAGTGCCATCAACAGATGAATGGATAAAGAAGATGTGGTGTATACATACATACATACATATATATATATATATATATATATACACATATATATATACAATGAAATATTACTCAGCCATAAAAAAGAATGAAATAATGCCATGTGCAGCAACATGGATGGCCCTAGAGATTATCATACTAAGTGAAGTAAGTCAGACAGAGAAAGACAAATATTACATGATATCACTTATATGTGGAATCTAAAATATGATACAAATGAACTTATTTACAGAACAGAAATAGATTCACAGACACAGAAAACAAACTTATGGTTACCAAAGGGGAAAGGCTGGGGGGGAGAAATTAGAAATTTGGAATTAACAGATACATGGTACTATATATAAATCAGATAAACAATAAGGACCTACTGTATAGCACAGAGAACTATATTCAATATCTTGTAATAACCTATAATGGAAAAGAATCTGAAAAAGAATATGTATATGTGTGTGTGTGTGTAACTGAATCACTTTGCTGTACACCTAAAACATTGTAATCAACTATACTCTTCAATTAAAAAAATTAGAGATTAAAAAAAAATACCAAAGGTAAGGAGAAATAAGGTCCTAATGTGCTTCTGGTCTAGAAGGACTGCATTCATAGGAAATTGTTTTTTGGTTCTTACAAGCTTGTAAGTCCTTGGAAAGCAGATACTGCTGTGTCTCTGTTTCTGGTTCATTCAGCAAACTTGCTGAGCCCTTACCATGTTCTATGCACCACACTCAACACGGGCAACGCAAAGAGCAATAATCCATGGTCCCTGCCCTCCAAGAACCTGGGCTAGAAGAACCCGACAGTGTTTGGTGCCCAGTAGACATTTAATAAATATTAAATGAATATCTCCATAAAGGGTCCTCCCAGGTTCCAGAGGAACACAGTGAGAACCCAAGCATTTGTTCCACAATTGATAATTTTGCAGTTGAGCCAAAAAGAACTTTCATTTGAATGAAAACATAACCTGCAATGGCTTATGTCAGAGAATGACATAAAAATTTGCTTCAAGAGCTGGTGCTAAGAACCTCATGCAGCATTCAGATAAAACGTTTTAACCAGCTAATAGTTGTTTTGAATAAGAGAGGTGCTTGGCTAAAAGCAGAGGCCTTGAAAGCACAAATGTAACACGGGTGCTGCTGAACTTTTACCGAGGGCATCGGCCAAGTCCAAAGAGTTTTCAGTGCTCTAGAGGCCTTCTCATTTGTAAAATGGGGACAATGAACGCAAGACAATGGTTTATTCCTCGAAAAGTCCTCGGGAAACGTCAAAGCCACATGAGAGTAATGTTCCTTCTTTCCTCATCTTGAATTATTAAACACCAACAGTCTCCAGCCCACCGTGCCCAGACATTTTGAAAGGGCACTGTGCCAACGCCCATTAGTGCTGGAGTCAACATTGGTGGGACACTTCTTGTATTTTTATACTCTTTCAGTTGAACCATTGAAATCCGACGTCTAACCGGAAAATTCGAAGCTGAAATGTGAGATTCCTGCT